ATTGTTTATTTAATATTTAATTACTTTATTCAAATGATCACTTATTTAAATAAAAGAATTAGTATTTATTTTAATTTCTTATTTAAATATTTCATTAATTAATTATCTTAGTTAATTATATATATTCTTTATTTAATATTTAATTACTTTGTTTATTTAATCGCTAAATTAAATAAAAAATTTATATTTAATTTAATTTCTTATTTAGATATTTCATTTATAAATTATCTTAATTAATTGTGTATATTATGTATTTAATATTCCATTACCTTATTTAATTATTATTTTAATCACTTATTTGAATAAAAAATTAATTTTTAAATATTAATTAATTATTTAAATATTCCAGTAATTAATTATCTTAATTGGTTATGTATATTATTAGTCATTAATATTTAATTACTTTATTTTAATTGCTTGTTTAAATAAAAATATTATACCATAATCTACAAGTGCCATAATATTATTGGAGAGTTGAAAAACAGTTTTTCCGATCCTTTACTCATAAGATTTCACATATGCATACATCCTTATGAATTAGTATATGTAGAATTATCCAATATTGAATTTGATTTCTCATTTAAACATTTCTTTATCAATTATCTTAATTGGTTATGTATATTTATTTACTTTATTCAATTATTTATTTTAAAACATATTCAAATAAAAATTGATATTTAATTTAATTTCTTTTTTGAATATTTCATTAATTAATTATCTTAATTGGTCATGTACATTGTTTATTTAATATTTCTTTACTTTAATTAATTATTTATTTAATCACTTATTCGAATACCAAATTAATACTAAATTTAATTTATTCTTTAAATATCTCATTAATTAATTATTTTAATTAGTTACATATATTATTTATTTAATATTTAACTAGAACATAAATCACATAATGCATGAGAATATCTAACAAAGATGGAAATCGAACATTAGGCACGATCACATTTTCAAGACATCGAACATTATTCAAGAATGCCGAAAATATATTTCTTCTACTAAATGAAGTCGAGTGGGAAGTTCTCGATTATAGTATGTTATTCTCTACCTAACAGATGTGTAATATTTATTTAAATCGTATGTACTCTCTATTTATAGTATATTATTGGTTTCCTCAATTTTATCTATTTATAGTATGTTATTGATTACATGAAAATTGACCCGACGAATATGTGATATCTACTTAAATTGTATATACTCTCTATTTATAATATGTCACCGATTTCCTCAATTTTCTTTCTTTATAGTGTGTTATATATGTAATTAAGAGTGATTAGTTATTTATTATATAATTACATAAAAACTAAAGTATTATAAACGTTTTAAAAAAATGCTTACATTTTAAATTATTACAACTACGGATCACAGTAGACATAAAAAAGAGCTTACGTTTTAATGTGTGTTTAGTTTATCAGCTCTACGTCACGTCTGATGCTAAAAATTCAATATACTTTAATTTGATCCGAATCCGACGAAATTAATGGAAGATGGATTTAGGGTCTTAATCCGATAACACAATCGAGATTCGAATCCGATAATCCGTAAACTAAATGAATCAAATATGGATATAGGTCGATCCGATCCGATATCACTAAAATATTTCAAAAGGAGTCTCCTTTAGAAATGAGTTAAAGGAGCATCACTTAGATATAAAAAATAAAAAAATAAATATATATATATATATATATAATAAGTGAGCACATCAAAATAATCCAAATATTTTTTAAAATAAATAAATAATTAAAATCTTGTTGGGGCTATGATTTTCAATGAAAAAATAAATAAAATATTTATTTTTCTAATTTTTTCAATTTCGGATCTAATTTCTGATAATATAGTTAATCGGATATGAATTTAACATTCAAATATCCGTTGGATTATTGGATCGGAGCAAATAAGATAATTATTCTTAACAGATCGAATCGGATTTGAGCAGATTCGATCCATTTATAACCCTAACTTCGATGCGATGATTTCATAATCGCCTTGGTTCGAATTCACGGAAGAGGTTGGGCAACACACCATCGACGGATGTTCTCTTCTCTTGCCTCGATCGTGTACGGAGAAACAATGTGTTGTGACAGCAATCCAGTCCTCTTGCTAACCATTAGCTTTGGCACGTCAATAACATATTTCTTACAGGATGTCTTTTTCATCGTCTTTTCCGACATAATTATCACATTATCCAAACTCGTGACATTATCTGTCAAGTTGGGGGGTCATTTCCGGCATAGTTATATATATTATTTATTTAATATTTAATTACTTTGTTTAATTATTTAATTATTTATTTAATCACTTAATTAAATAAAAAATTAATTTTTAATTTAATTTCTTATTTAGATATTTTATTTATAAATTATCTTAATTGATTGAGTATATTTGCTTCAATTATTCATTTAAATTATTTGATTTAAGTATTTATATTAATTGATTATTTAAATTATTTATTGAACAAGTAAACGTAAATATTTAATTATTTATTTTAAATGTTAGAAATTTATTTCAATTAAATTATAATTACATATTTTGATTATTAACACTTAATCATTATTTACATTTTTCATTTTTCATTTAAATAATCATTTAATTATTATTTAAATATTCATTATTTATTTTTGTGCATTTAAATTAATTATTTATTTCAATTATTTTTCATTTATTTGTTTCATTTGTTCATTCAAATTATTTTATTTAATTATTTATTTTGATTGATTACAAGTAATCATAAATAATTAATTTTTATTTTAAATGTTAGAAATTTATTTCAATTAAATTTTAATTACATATTTGATTATTAACGTTTATTCATTATTTACATTTTTCATTTATCATTTAATTATTATTTAAATATTCATTATTTATTTTTGTGAATTTAAATTAATTATTTATTCCAATTATTTTTCATTTATTTGTTTCAACTGTTCATTTGAATTATTTGATTTAATTATTTATATTGATTGATATTTAAATTATTTATTGAACAAGTAAACGTAAATATTTATTTTAAATGTTAGAAATTTATGTCAATTAAATTTTAATTACATAATTTAATTATTAACATTTATTCATTATTTACAATTTTCATTTATCATCTAAATAATCATTTAATTATTATTTAAATGTTCATTATTTATTTTTGTGTATTTAAACTAATTAATTATTTCAATTGTTTTCCATTTATTTGTTTTAATTGTTCATTTAAATTATTTGATTTAATTATTTATATTAACTGATTATTTAAATTATTTATTGAACAAGTAATTGTAAATATTTAATTTTTATTTTAAATGTTAGAAATTTATTTCAATTAAATTTTAATTACATATTTGATTATTAGCGTTTATTATTATTTACATTTTTCATTTATCATTTAAATAATCATTTAATTATTATTTAAATGTTCATTATTTATTTTTGTGCATTTAAATTAGTTATTTATTCCAATTGCTTTCCATTTATTTGTTTCAATTGTTAGTTTAAATTATTTGATTTAATTATTTATATTGATTGATTATTTAAATTATTTATTGAACAAGTAATCATAAATATATAATTTTTATTTTAAATTTTATAAATTTATTTCAATTAAATTTTAATTACATATTTGATTATTAACGTTTATTCTTTATTTACATTTTTTATTTATCATTTAAATAATCATTTAATTATTATTTAAATATTTATTATTTATTTTTGTGCATTTAAATTAATTATTTATTTCAATTATTTTTCGTTTATTTGTTTCTATTGTTCATTTAAATTAATTGATTTAATATTTATGTTGATTGATTATTTAAATTATTTATTGAACAAGTAAACGTAAATATTTAATTATTTATTTTAAATATTAGAAATTTATTTCATTTAAATTATAATTACATATTTTGATTATTAATATTTCATTATTTAAATTTTTATTTATCATTTAAATAATCTTTTAATTATTATTTAAATGTTCATTATTTATTTTTGTGCATTTAAAATAATTATTTATTTTAATTATTTTTCATTTATTTGTTTCAATTGTTCATTTAAATTATTTGATATAATTATTTATATTGATTGATTATTTAAATTACTTATTGAACAAGTAAACGTAAATATTTAATTATTTATTTTAAATATTAGAAATATATTTCAATTAAATTTTAATTACATATTTTTATTATTAACATTTATTCATTATTTACATTTTTCATTCATCATTTAAATAATCATTTAATTATTATTTAAATGTTCATTATTTATTTGTTCATTTAAATTATTTAATTTAATTATTTATATGGATTGATTATTTAAATTATTTATTGAACAAATAATCGTAAATATTAAATTATTTATTTTAAATGTTAGAAATTTATTTCAGTTAAATTTTAGTTACATATTTTGATTATTACTATTTATTTATTATTTATATTTATTATTTATTGTTTAAATAATCATTTATTTATTATTTATATATTCATTATTTATTTTTGTGTATTTAAATTATTTATGGAATACAACGAAAACAAATTGAAGGAAGCCTAGCTACTGTCTAGAAAAGATGGTATGGGCCGTCTAGCCCTCTCCTCCATTTCTTCTCCGGTCCAGGTGTCGGAATCGCCATTTTGGCTCAAAAACACCTCAAAAAATATCATTTTCAGTAATTTTACATAATCTACAAAGATTTCTACCATTATTTCCAACAAAATTTCTTCTCCTTCTTTTTCAGACGTCGATTTGAGAGTGATTTGTTAGGGACAATATTGAGTTTTCATTATTTTTAAGGATTTTACAAAATTTTCAATTTTTTTTGAACAGTAATTAACGATCATTTTGAAAAAAATGTCTTTTTTTTGTGGCTATATGCCTTTCCTCCCCTAATACATCCGGTTTAGACCCTTTTATTCTTGATCCTGGTTTCTCAGACCAGGTTTACTACCTATCTCTCTCTAAACCTCAGTGATTGAATTTAGGGAGAGGATTAATTTGGAGAGATTCTGAAAATGAACAGCGGAGATTCGAATCAACAACATCATATGCAACAGCAACAGCACCAGCACCAGCACCAGCAGTGGATTGCGATGCAGCAGTACCAACAGCAATGGATGGCCATGCACTACCCGGCAATGGCAATGCAGCAGATGATTTATAACCATCATTACGTACCGTACTATCACCAACAGCAGCAGTATCAGCAGCAGCAGATTCAGAGCTCTACTGACGATAACAAAACGATCTGGATTGGAGATCTCCAACAATGGATGGATGAAACTTATCTCCAATTGAGCGCGAGGTATTTTTTCGTTTTTTAAATAAATTTTGTAGTATGCGTATAAATTTAATTGTTCATTATTTGAGTTTTTACTGGTAGTTGTATGATTACTTCGTTGCTGATTTTTCTTTTTTGATTTGATAGTATGTTTGTCAAGTGGATTTGAAATTGATAGATTGAACTGAAACTTTTGATAGATGCTTGAAAACATTGTTACAGATTTGAGATCTCATTACTATTGACATAGAACCAAGACGGGATAGATGTCCGTATATGGTATATATACATATATTTATTAACTTGGGAAAAAGTAACTTTTAAGGAAAAAAATGTTGGAAGGATTTAGAAGTAGGGTCATGCTTTTGCTTTATTTGTTAGGCAAGTGAAGTAAGCTACGAATCCCATAACTTGCTATTTTCATTAAATTCTTGAAGTTAAGGATAACATTTATATCTCTAGTATGATTAGGGAGGAGTGGTGTTGTGCGAAGCTGCAACACTGAAGCTTTTTGCTGGATTAAAGGGCTTGCAAATGAGTGTTGTTGATCAAGCATATCTACAACATATGTAACATATTTTTAGAACAGGATCTCATATATCTGAATGAAATTTTACTTTTTGTGATTCTTTAAACATATATTTTCTTGGTTAGGTTCGTGGTGCTTCTATACAATGTATATTTTCAGAATGTTTTTGCCTATTTGGATGTCTCAAATGGGTTTCTTCTTCTTCCTCTCCTCCTCCCTCTGCTTGTGTTCCTGCTTCTGCTCCCACACCTCCTGCTGATTGTGATTATGATTGTGAGGCTAGCTTGACTAATTGCTGTGTTACAGTCTATGATGCACCGACATGGACACGTGTGTCCGACACGATACGTGTCGGATACGTCGACTCGTGATTTTTCAAAAAAGTAACGACACGACACGTCATCGACACGTTCATTAGATTTTTAAAATTCTTCATTTATATAGTTTAAATTCAATTTTATACTTATTATTGATTATTTTTTGTTGAAATCTTTTAAATATGAATACTTATTTGTTATTTATTAAAAACTCCGAGTTAAAAATATATAATAGTTATAGTAAGAAAGGAAAATGATTACTGTAGAGTTTCCGAAGAGTGTCGGTATCGACACGTATCCGACACGTGTCGGGCACGGACATGCTACCCTAGTTAGAGTGTCCGTGCTACATAGGTTACAGTTAACGGTTATTTAAAGCAAGCATTTTTCTAGTTCTTCAAAGCTAAGCTCAAGGATGCTTGACAAATTACGTTTCCTAGAGAACAAGTTGGTGATTTGACAGTTTCAATGTATCATTGGAATGCAAAATTTCAAGAGAACTGTGTTGGCACCTTAGGAAATAATATGTATCCAATGGAGTTGATATTTCCAAATTGTGTAAAAAACAGTATGCATGTGCTAACTTTCTTTGATAATAGAAGTATTTTTTATCAAAGGAGCAAGATGCAAATAATGACTGATGGCAGTCTGCCAGTCTCTTTGAATAATTCTTTAAGAATACTTTGTGTTGGCAGAGCTCTTCAGAGTATAATGTTTGTGTTATTATTCTGTATATGCCATTGTTCCAAGTCAATAATTCTACGAGACAGACATCAATTAGTAACCATGATCATCAAGCAATTCACGTCCCACATACGCATATCAGCTTTTTCCATTATGAGATTTCCTTTAGCCTCTCGGTTGAATTGTATGAATGGCTGAAAATGAAGATTGCAAGTTTGCTATAACCAACTGTTTTTGGAATTTAAAGGAAATAAAATAGAACTCTTTGAGCTTAAATGAGTGAGACACTAAGAAAAGTATTTTTCCATCTGTTCATTTGATGCATGAAAATGCAGTTCATTTTCAGTTTGGATACTTTCTGAATGTGTTGAAAAAATAAAGATTTTTCCTAGAGGAATTTTAAATCACATTTGATGTTTTGAACTGACAGGTTGTTTCTGTCAAGGTCATTTGCAATAAGCATAACGGTCAATTGGACAGATATGGATTTGTTGAGTTCAGTTCTCATGCTGCAGCAGAGAAAGTTCTGCGTGGCTACAGTGACTGCTTGATGCCAAATACTGATCAAACCTTTCGCCTAAACTGGACAGCCTTTAGCTCTGGTGATAGGAGGACAGATGGCGGGTCTGATTTGTCAATATTTGTTGGGGATCTGGATAGTGAGGTTACTGATGCCCTACTGCACGAAACCTTTGCTAGTAAATATCCATCCGTCAAAGGTGCAAAAGTAGTTGTTGACTCAAACACCGATCGTTCAAAATGTTACGGCTTTGTCAGGTTCGGTGATGAAAATGAGAGATCACGAGCCATGATGGAAATGAATGGAGTTTATTGTACTAGTAGACCTATGCGAATCAGTATTGCAACCCCCAAGAAACAAGCTACACAGCAACAGTATTCTTCACAAGGTGCAATATAATACCTCCTTTGTGCATCCAGTTATGACAAAAAGTTAGTGTTTTCTGATAATTTTTCTCCTAAATTTAGTGATACGGTTTCAAAAGACAGCAACCTGTCTACCACCAAAATTATTCTCTTTTTAACAAGGATAATCTTGGAGTTCCTTGAGAGTCCTATGACAATAAATTTTTCTTGATTTAAATGGTATTAGTGAAACAAACTTCATTACTTGACTCGATCTCTACTTCTATGTTATTCATATAAGCCTCCATGTTTGTCATAGGGTAACTTTTTTGGTCAATTCGGCATAATTTGAGCTGTAAGTTCTATGAAACAAAACTTAAAATAGTACTATACCTTATGCTAAACAACATACTTTGAGTTTGATCCATTGAAGGAGCATTTATTGATGCACAGTAATATATACATTTGATGAGGACTTCATTTTTCTTCCCTCATTGATGATTGACGTTCTCTTTCTCTCATGAAAATGAGTAATAAAAGTACCACAAGTTTACCAATTTGCGTATTCTGATCTCTACTCATCATTTCTAAGATCAGTTAGGATACAAAGCATCGAAGCTTTCTAATTTAGTCTTTTCCACACTCTTCTTGTTTTATTCTTCTAGTTTTGAAAGGACAATTGTTAAACAGATCATTTGTGTGTTGTCAATTAGATTATGTAATGTAATCTACTTTAGCATAAATTCCAACATTTTGACTTACTTTTTTGGTGTAGCCGTTTTATTAGCAGGTGGATATACATCAAATGATATCACGCCCCAAGGTTATAAATTTGAAAATGATTCATCTAACACAACAGTGAGTCTTGCTCCTCTTGGGAATTTTGTCCTGAGAAATTTGTATATTTCAGTATTACAGTAACTCGTGACTAGATATTTGTGGGAGGACTCGACTCTGATGTCACTGATGAAGAGCTCAGACAGTCTTTTACTCCATTTGGTGAGGTTGTCTCTGTGAAGATACCGGCTGGAAAGGGACGTGGTTTTGTACAATTTCTTAACAGGTAATTCTATGGTGCAATTTATCATAATGCAGATAATGTTCTGTACCAGTAATCATCGTTTTAGGAAATAAATCTGATTTCTGGATCTTTTTCATTTTATTAATGAGCTAATGAACTTATAACTAATAAGGGCTTCTTTACAAATTAGCTATTTTCTGAAAGTACAATCTATTAGCTATCAGTTTTTAGGACAAAAACGTGCATTGGATATTCCTGTTTCAACTTTCACTGAAAACTTAGTGCCAAACAAAGACAAACTGTCTATGGAAGTAGCGTTTTTAAGGAGCTTGAGCTGCCTATACAAATTGAAAACCTTTCACTTTAAAGATTAATTGTGATCTTGCTCTCTCAGCTCCAAAATGTGCAGTGTAGTCAATTTTTTTTCGTTCCTTCTTTTGGACCACTTTACTTTTAAGGGTTCTGACATAACTGGTTCTGCTCAGAAACCTTCCTGCCTTCAGAATAGAAGTAGAAGGTCATGACTCTTTTTTTCCCTTTCTCTGTTTCTAGAATCCCAGATTCTGTTGCAGAATTCTTGTATTTTTCTCGTCTAAAGCACATTGTGAGTGTAAGTTCATGCACATTATAAATAACGACTTCTACATCCATTTTCATGCAAAGAATGGAGAAGTTTGGTTTTCTGGAATGTAACAGTGTAATTAAGTTTGTTTCCAAGTTTCTAAATTTTTCCCTAATTGATTAATTCTCTTAGTCCTGTTATCACATATTGGTTTGTTTGCATTTTTATTATTTTTTCATTTAAGGTAGTGTTTAATTGCTCCACATTTTCCATTTTCCAACTTTTGGTTGTTTGATTGTCCAAAATTTTTCATGGAATTGAAATTCTCACTTTCTTGTCACGTCAGCATTTTCCATGAAATCTTGGAATTAGAATTCTCACCAAAATTGGTGAGAATTGGAATTCCTTATTACTGTAACGATTTTTAAATATTTTTTTTTGGGCAATGGAAATAAATTCCAAGAATTATTGTAAAAAAATATTTTTTTTTACTAACAATTTTCATGTAAAATAAAACCAAACGAACACCAAAAGATAGATGCTTTTCTTGATTTTATTATTATTATTATTATTTGGCAATGGAAACAAATTTCATATCCAATATACCAGTAAATTTTGTCTCTTTAATTGACAATTTTTATATAAAATAAAGCCAAACGAACATAAAAAAAACACTTTTATTTCAACATTTTTCACGTGAAAAATTATACTAATCAAACACAGTAATTTACAATTCCCAGCAAAACAATTTCTAGGCAATTCAATTCCCTGGAATTCGTTTTCAATTCAATTCAATTTCATCTTTACAATCAAACGGACCCTCACTATATTTGTATTTCTCTGTTATTTTTTCCTTCTGTTTTTTGGTTTATCTTTGTGGTGTGTAAGTGTCTTCATGCTTCCATTTAGCTGCTTTTACTGTTAGCTAAAAATTATAATATCAAGAAGATGCAGTTTAAGCTTCAACTTAACAGCCTTAAATTTATTTTTGAGTTTTTAAATTTTTTTTCCTAATTCATTAATTCTCTTGGTCCTGTTGATATGCACTTAGGGATGGCAATGGGGCTCGGCTCAGCCCACATGCTTGCGGGCTGGGCCGAGCGAGCCTAAGCCCTTGACGAGCCCGAGCTGGATTTTGACTAGCCGCTCGACCCGTTTGACATTCCTATATGCACTAGGTGGTTGATATTTATGCACGTGTGAATTTTTATTTTATTTATTTATTTGTGCACGTGAATAATGTGCGTGCTATGGTGGAGATCATGAGTTATGGTGGGGGGGAAGAGGAAGGTGCTGGGGAGTAAACAAGGATAAGTAACTGAGTTATGAAGAATTGCAAATTTTCACATTTGTAGAAACAATACTGTGAAGCATGGCTATGAATAAACCTTAAGCCGTAGACTTATTGAATATCCGTAAAATTCCTGTTATATTGTTTTAATGTTTGAAACATACAGACAGCTACAATGCGCTGCATGATAGTCTTAAACTTCTGTTTTAAACTTTTAATAGAAGTGGTGCATAGGATGAAATACAGAAGTTAAATGGAACAGTTATTGGTAAGCAGACAGTTTGTCTTTCTTGGGTTCGAAATCTGGGAAACAAGAAGGTAAATGGCATTCCTTCAATTTTAAGCTTTAGATTGTCAATAGGAACATTATTTTCTCCTTTGACTACCCAAAAGAGTTTTGCCGTGTCAACTTAACAGTTGGTTTTATATAGTGTATGTCAAAACATTTTTGACTCAAATTTTATCCTTTGAGTTCCAGAAGATTGGATCTAAACATAGACATAATAACATTAGTTTATGAATTTTATCTGCATCCTGTCCTCTGGACTTTCTACTCCTAAACAGAAGATGAATTTTGTGCATGTTTGGCTTAGCTTAAAAACTTGATAAGTTTCAGATTAAATAATTTCTAGAGGCAAAGTTGTTTGTCTCCCATTATAGGAGAAATTATAGAGTTTTGAATAGTAAATTGCAGAATGTGTGGTTAAAATTTAAAGAAACTTTATTGGTTTGTATGTAGAATATTTTATTGTGTGTGGTGGAGAATGTTACCGTAGTAATCAATTTAATTTGTTAAAGGATGACAAACAAGGGCTAAGTTATTTGAAGTGTGTGTGGTTAAGCTTGGGAAGTTAGTATATAATTGATTAAGTTTGATTGAAAATAAATAATTCTTTTATTAGCAAAAAATTTAAGCTTAGCCAAACGTGCCGTTTGTTTCTCCAAAATCAGATCAACCTCCCATGCACTTATTCCTCAAAAAAGAAAACCATCCATGCACATGCAGAGCATGCTGGATCCTCTACCATTCTACGTTGTTACTGCACTAACTCCATCAAGAAATGATTTTTGTTTTGGTTACCATTCTGTTCACTTTTCGATTGTCTTCATGTTTCTTTCTTGTTTTGCAGATGAGATCCGATGCCAGTAATCAATGGAACGGGTCTTACTATGGAAGGCAAAGTTACAACAGGAACGGATATTTTGCAGGTGCAGCAGCCAACGGGGCTTCTTCAAATAGTTATGGGAACCACTAGCAGTTGTTCGCTAAATTACTGGATTGTGCTCGTCGAGCATATGAGAGAAACTATCAAATTAACATAAATGCTAAAATATGTGGTATTACGAATTTTGTAGCTGGATTCAATTCAATGAGATGTAAGGATATTTTATTTATTTTTATTTTTTAAAACTTTGTTTCATAATTTTTAAGAGTTTTTGTTACAATTATTCTCGTCCTCCCTTGTCCTATTTCAATTCTTTTGGAGCTTCATAGTGTCGTAGAAGTTTACTTATTTTTGCTTGTCCGTAGTTATATGAAGACACATCGTAGAAGGTGGATTGGATTATCCACGCCCCATGAGACCCATTACCAATTTATTTATTACATTTATATCTACTAGTCAAAGTTGAATGTGCATTGTACATTATTATAAAATATTTTATAAGTACTGTAAAATTAATATTTGATACCAATTCATTGGGAGAATATGATGAGTCTCAAACGAACTAAAGAATATAAAATTTAGGATATAAATTTAAGAGAACAAAATTTTCCTTTCAAAATTTAACTCTAGGATTCAGTTTTTTTGTGATGATAAAATACTACAAATTAGTAACATTTTTAAATTATATCAGGTACATAAGAATTATTTGCTAATACATGAATTTAAACATCCATTAAATTTTTTAGATACAGAGATAGAAACACATTCATGTAAAATAATGGACCATTTTTGGGGTACATTATGGACACCATAATGGTGTCCATAATCCCGAGGTGGCGCCTCCTCATTGGAGGAGGCACCGGGCCCACAGGCACCCCCTCCAATTAGGGGGCGCCACCTCGACATTATGGACACCATTATGGTGTCCATTATGTACACTTAGAATATTCCTAAAATAATTCTAGATGCATATAGATCAAAATTCATCAAGTCGAGATTTATTAGGTTTAGAATAATGTGAATGTTCATTAACTGAGAATTAAGAACATGAATTTTGTAGTATTTATTATATATTGAAAAACGAAAATTAAGGTATTATTAAAATAATTGAATTTAATAGGGTTAAATTTGTCCAAAAAATTATTCTCACTTGATCTGATGTATTAAAAATTTATAATTTAAATGACTTATAATTGACTGCCAAACATGAGTTGCAAAGTGTTACCATAAAAAATTACAACCAATCATGTGCTTGCAAAACACAGGCTAGCATGTGATGCATTAAAGGACCCAATTGTCATAGAGTTGTCTCAAACCGTGATGAAAGCATTTTCAAGATATTCTTTAATTTTAAAGAGAATATTCTATGAATAAAAATTTTGAAGCACTTCAATAAATTCTATATATTTAATATTTAATTTTACTATTTTTAAAAACAATTATTATTTTTTTCTATTTTTTTATTTTAACTAACTTTTCTCTAAATTATTATATTATTTTTTTACATCGAAAATTGAAATACTTTAAATGCATTTGATTATAGAGAGTCGAACCCACTTTCTAAATTAAAATGTTAATTTCAAAAGTCTTTTGAAACATGATTTTAAGAATTGACTCTTTAAAATATGAAGCATTTCATATTTAAAGAGTCTTTTGAAAATACTCTGATGTCGAGGTTTCTCATTTCAGCAAGCCGACCCAATAAATAGCACTTTCGGTATATGAAAACAACTAGAAAATTTAACCAAGTATGCAAATATTGAAGTATTAAATCAGCACATGAAATTTACGGATCCCAACTTTATATTTCACCAAATAAAGAAACATGTTATAGAAATTGTGAAGGGCCAGCACAACCTTCCGCTTCATCACCTCTCCCTCTCCGCTTTTTAGTCTCCTATTCTAAATGCCTAGCAGAAAGAATAAATAGGCCAAATCCTGGATTTCAGTTGACATTCCCAATTGCTGGACTAATTTCTAACATTTTCAATCCAACTTAAAGTTGAAATTGCCCCAATATCAAACACACAACGATAACCACTTCCACCCACCCACCATCATGTGCCTGTGCCTAATTTTATCGTTGAATTTGAATACCGAAACTAAATGGGCAACAAGATCACAATACTATCGAGCACATTGTAATGGACCGCGCCGTTCGGCCCTTGAGGTTACGGGACACCCCAAGGCAGCCTTCCCCACACATACGGTCGACAAGCTAATATATGCAGCATAACACAATATAAGGATATAGATAACTTGTCATCAGACCTAAATAAGGGACGTTGTTAGTGTACTTCCAAAGAATATAGCAATAAATCCACAATAAGTAATCTTTTCATGCTACATGGGTAGGGGAGTTCTCTAGGTCCGTGACTCACTCTCCCACTCAATCCACTAACGCCCTCGTAGTGGATGTGCGTTTCGCCTCTTCGTGCTTTGCATATTCCCTCCAAGTTAGTGGGTCCGAAAATTTCTCCACAATTGCAACAGTATCCCCATGATGTGGGAGCGTCCACAATGCCCTCGACACCCCTCCCCGTAGTACCTCGTACATGCCGCCTTCACCCTATGCACCTCTGCATTAGTTCTTAAGCGGACGGCTCTTCTGACCATTGCGTCATCACGCATGTCTAAGTATATCCACAAATGTCCCCATTATTCAATTTCCATAGTAATGCCTTGGTCATGCCCTTGCGAAACAAACATTCATGTAGTCGGCAAAATTGCATAACGCATTTCCCCAACATTTGTCCTCCTCAAAGCTTTCCATCCTCGATGCAACTTGCTAACCGTTTTGCCACATTTGGCAATCC